AAAAAAAAAAAAAAAAGTTATGTTTTTAGAAATTCTATTTTACTTATTTTATTTTAATTTATCAATATACAATGCAGCTAATTTTCGTGTCCCTTTACCAATTCCTCCTTTCCTCCTTCCCTCTCCCCACCATTACTTCATTTGGTTAGAAATTCTGGTTAATAGACACCCTCCCGTTCACGTGTCCCCACACTTTTTCCTAAAACACCAGATAATAAATATTTTAGGCTTCACGGGCTATAATGTCACTGTTGCAGCTACTCAACTCTGCTGCTGTAGCTCAAAAGCAGCCACAGAAAATATGTAAACAAATGAGTTTAGTTGTGTTCCAACAAAACTTCTACTTACAAAATCAGGCAGCAGGCCACAGTTTGCTTACCCCTGCTCTATCTAGCAAATAAAATATTAGATAAAGCCACTCTTGCTTTATACTTTCATTTTTTTCTTCCTCAGAGTAGCTGGATAAAGAGTACCTATAATAAATTTATTTCTATACTTCTTCAAATAGGAAATAAATATAAATGAAAATAAACCCAGAATATTATTGACTAACATTTAATCTCTTACTTTGGGACCTATGTCTGGACAAGTTAAAATACTTCTGCCCTTGAGTTTCCCAATCGACTAGGCTCATCTGACCAGTGAGACTAAATAAACAATACAATTCATTAATGCACTGATTATGAAAGGGTTATTTGACTTAGAAAATCCTTGGTTAAATGAACATTAACAGATTTAGGGGAAAGAAAACAAAATCAATACCCGGAAATCCAATACACATGACAATCTCTTTTTCAGTGTAAAAACCAAAAGTGTCTAGCAATTAAACTTAATAATTTATTGAAAGAATTTATTAATAATTTATTTTACAGGCAATACATTGAATTTATGATAGAAAGTGCCCAATAAAAACCATAGTTTTTTTTTTTTTTTTTTGTCTTTTTTACTGACCGGAACGGGATCACAACCCTCGGTGTCGCGCCCGCACCGCGCTCAGTCAGTGAGAGGGAACCAGTCTCCACATGGGATCCGAACCCTCGGCGGGAGCGCCACCATGCTCCCAAGCGGCGCACTCTCCAGTGCGCCACTGGGCCAGCCCAAAAACCCTAGATTTTTTATTGACTGATACATGCCTGAGAATTACTATCTTAATCATCAGATGTTCCCTAATAAGAAATTAAGCCAACTAGCATCAAACTTGGACCATGTCTTCATTTGAAAGAGAGATAAATTCACAGAACCATTTTAATTTTCTAGTACATTGGGTTAGCTGTGCCCTAGTAATATAACAACATGGTTCGAAGGGATCATGCTCAGGAGCTCTTTTCTTTATGCCAGTGTATAACAGGCCACGGCTGATCAGTTTGGCCAAAATCCATGGTGGCGATGGCTCAGCAGCCTTCTCAGTTCTGTTTCAGTACAGACAAAACTCAAATGGTAAATTAATTAATAAATTAACATAATAAAAAATATTATATTCTGTGAGGTGACTTCAGTAACATTACTAGGATGGATCAAAAACAGCCACAGATATTTATTTTAGATGCTGTTATTTACTTTTACATGCCACAAATAAAGATAACAACCGATTCAAGAATGAAAACATGTTAAGTACAGACTTGTTGCTGACCTCGTGGGAGCTGTGAATACAAAAATTCCAATGAGTCAATACACCATTTAGGTGTTTTAGTTAAAACTGGTGAAAGATAGCTATGGTGCATTTTTTGCACACCCACTTTTCTACACTTCTGCTACCCTGTGTTTATTAGCTGCACTAAATAAATAAGAAACGAGATGACATTTTTCTTAACAGCAAGAACAGCTACAAGATTTGAATAAATCTCAGTGAAAGCACAGTCATAGGTCAATGAGTGATTTCATTCTGGAGGTCATCATACACACCAAAGATACCTGGGAAATAAATAATGACTGACCTCTTGTTGCTGAAAGACATCTGTGTATTTGCCCAAGCCCAGTTTGCTGAAGAGCTCGGGGAGGTCAGAGCCTTTGAAAGAGCTATTCAGGTTACAGCCATTGCTTCCTGTCAGTGAGGAAATGCAGTCCATGTAATTGCTACTGCTGAGATAGTGTTCCGCTGAAAGGCAAAGGAGAGACAGGCTTGAAGTGAAAATTCCCAGAGAGAACATGGTTTAATTAAAAGTTTTAATCACCCAAATATTTCATATTCCATTGTTCAGCTGAATAGAGCAGTAGCTACAGAAATAACAGCAATCCTTTACTGTAATATTGGCTTTTCATTAAGAAAATGCTGGTCACTGCTTTCAGGGAGGCTCTTGCCATTTGAAAGGTTACACTTGGGAGGCAGAAATTCAGCAACAGTGCCCCGGTAGTTAATAACCATTCATCATATTCTCCCTGAGCACTCAGAAGCATTTACTCTCTCTTTATAATTGATTTGATGTGAATTAAATGGGAACTGGAAGGAGGATCCCTGGGACACAATAAAGATGTGGAAAGTTATTACAAGCCCAGGCCCTTTTTGTATGGCAGGATGGCTCTCTGTATCTACACTTGTGTTTTCCTTTGGTCAAAAGAACTGTATGATATTGCAACATATAATCTCATTCCCCAGGAAATATAATTGGATAGTGAGTTCACAAAATAGAGTGCTTCCAAAATTAAGAGAAATATACGAAGTGATAAGAATGATGCTGAAATCACTGGATTTAATTTATGACAGAAATTATCTGCCTCTTTGGAGAAATTCTAAGACAGCCATGATGAGCTTTGCCTTGGCTCTGTGACTGATTTGGTAGGCAAATGTTCTGACCCCCTATCTGTGGGTCCAGCCCCAGTGACAATAAAGGATGGTGATGGACTATTGAACCATGCCAAGTACTCCACCAAAGGCACTGCTTTGGAGGTTCTAGCAGAGCTGTGCAGCCATTTCTACCTCCCTGACCAACAACTGGCTCCCGCCCATGTGGGAAATCTGTCCCCTTACATCAAGGATGCAGTTTCAGGAGAAATTCCCCAGAGAGGTGAAAGGGGAAGACACTCACCTAAGCCAATCAGTTCCTCCTAACCTACTCGCGATCTGTGCATCTGCCAAATCTAAGAACCTTGCTCTGCACTGTTACTGGTGCGATTAATCACTTTCTCCAGTTGTCTTCACCTCCCAACTGAGAAGTCCTTTATGTGTCTCAAGTGGAAGGAATTTGTTGATAAGGTTTCTTTTTCTCTTAAGAACAGATGTTTTATCTCTTGTAGGGAGAATGTGTAAAGAAAAGGACCCAGGACCAAACGCTGAGATACTGAGCCCTGGGATGCTCCACCATTTAAAAGTGAAGCAGAGGCCCCAAAGTCATCAACACAGATTGAGGAGGAGTGGCCAGTGAGGTACTGGGACAAAGGTGACACAAGGCAGAGTAATATGAGCATATTAGTGACCACTGAACTTGACAACATGGAAGTCACTGGCAGGACAAACACATAACTTATTTTCCAAATGATAAATTTATTTCTTTTGAGAGTGAAAGCGGAGTTACTGAGAATTATACTGGTGCAACTTGTACAAACAGGAATGCCCAGAAAAACTGGAAAAACTGGTGACCTTGACAAGGGAGTTAAGAAAAATCTAAAACTGTGCTGTTCAACACACTAATCAATGACCACATATGGCTGTCAAGCATCTGAAATGAGGTGAGTGGGAATTAAAATGTTCTAGCAGTGTCAAATACACTGTCGATTTTAAAGACTTTGTTTTAAAAAAGAAAAAAAATGTAAAATATCTCATGTTTTTTACATTGATTATGTATTTAAAAGAAATATTTTATATATGTTGGGTTAAATAAAATATATTAGTAAAACCTTTAAAAAAAATAGCAGGTATTTGTAAATAAAATATTCTTAGTGATAAATGGTTATAATGGCTGCTGTGGTTGTCTCCTCCAAAGCTCAGGTGGAAGCTTAATCCCCAGTATGGTATTTGAAAGGTTGGGCCTTTAAGAAGAGATTGGATCATGATGGCTGTGTACTCATAAATGGGTTCATGGATAAACAGGTTCTCAGGGAGTGCACTAGAGGCTTTGCAAGAGGAGGCAGCAGCATGTTAGTGCACTCTGGCGCAGCCCTCATCATGTGACACCCATGGTTGCCACAGCACTATATGAAGAGTCCCCACCAAGAAGGAGGCCTTCGCAAGATGCTGAGCCATGCTCTTGGACTTCCTGGCCTCCAAAGCTATAAAAAATAAATTTTATTTCTTTATAATTTACCCAGTTTCAGGTATTCTGTTATATGAGCAACAAAAAACAGACTAATACAATGGCCCATAACTTCTATTTCTTTTTGTGTTAACTACATATAGTTTCTATATGGCCTTAAACTTCCTACACTCTTCAAACATCTGACAAAAGCCAAATAACTATGCTTCTTTAATCATTCCTTTTTACTAATGAATCCCCATCTTAATCCTAAACTTCAATTCAACCAAGTAGTACAACTTTAATTATCCAATATTAAATGAAGGGAAAGAAGGTAAAGATAGAGAAGCACAATACTAATTTATATTGGGCCATAGATCGAGCACCACTTACACCACCTCAATTTGTGCTGGCACCAGCCTGCCTCTCAGCTCGATCACACTGTCAGTGGTGGAGGATCCAGCCAGTGACTGATAGGGTCTCCAGGCTATTATTGACAGTACACTTGGGAATGAAAGAGTTGACCATGTTTTCTTACTTAGACTCGGCCAACACCTTGACTGATCTCTTCAAATCTGAGCCTCCTGACAGCACAGCCAACTTGACTGATGGTAGCAACTGCCTGTTCCAGGGTGTCTACTATGCTCGTCTGGACTGCCCTTCTTCAATACTCCAAGCAACATGTTTCAGCATCCCAAATCTGTCAAAACCCCTGAAGAAAGGGCATTAGGGGCACATCTTGTCAATTCTCATCTGTTTACCTATTTATATAGGCTAGAAGTGTGGGTGCTGTCATAGACAAAATGCTGGACTCACGCTGACTCTCAGCCTTATTTGCTCAAAGCCAGAACCTCCGTGCTTGAAATTAAACTTTTTTTTTCCTGTTTATGCTAATTCAGCTACATCTTGTCAATAAAAAATCAAATCCTGCTCTTCCCCTTCAGTAGCTTCTACTGGACAGTCTTTCCTCAATTGTCCAAGACACTAACTTGATCACAATTTTCACAACTGCTTTTTTATATCCTTGTCTTTTCCTTGTCATTGGATGTTTTCGTATGCATTACTCATTCATGCTCACTCATTTCACAAAGATGTACTGAGAACCTACCTACTAGGTGTCAGACACTCTGCTAGGCATTTGGGAAGAAATAATACACAGCATAACGGAATGCCTGGCATATAGGCACTTAATAAATGTTTGCTGAATGAACAAATACAGTTCCTGGCTTCTGGAGCTCCAATTCCACAGGGAGAGACAGGCATGTAAATAAATAATCACCCTTCGGTATGACAAGTGCTAGAGTGAAAGCACGTACAAAATGCAGTAAGAGAGAAGAGCTAAGTGGCCGGCTTCACGGAGGAGGTGGTGCACGAATTACACCCAGCACTTGAAATCCCAGAAACCAGAGTCATACTTGAACATCACCCCAAACCAAATCAACACATTCTAAGCCGATGATACCTAAAAGTATGAATAAAAGTGAAAGCTCACTTGATTTGTTTTGTTTACGCTTAGGGCTGCCAATAGAAGCTGCAAATTCATCATGACTTGCGGGTCCTATTCCATTTCGATCTCTCCAGTTATCAGATTCACTTCCATTTCCCAAGTGCTCACGACTGTTAGATCGTGAGAGGGACATTGATGAGCCCTGTGAACAGTCAAAGCCAGATAAGGAAGTGTTTAATAAGGGGGTTTCTCAGGGTGGGAGGAGAAAAGAATCCACATTACACCACTGCCATTTACATCTATGGCTCACCATGGCCGTCATCCATGAATGCTATGTCTATGGCCTTTATCTTCCAGCAGCCAAGGACTCTTGGTAACACACACAGTGAAGTCTTTTCCCTTCATTATGGGGAGCTAACTATGAGGGTACCCAACAGAGGCCTGACAGCCCCCAGTATAAACAACCCCTCTTATAAAATTTGGAAGAGTGGATGCTGAGATGCTTCCCAATTTCAGAAACCCCAAAGCAAATCTTCCATCTGTTACAGCAAAGATTCTCAGCCTTGTATCACACAAGAAGGGTAGATGGGGATGAGGTACAGCCAGATCCAATGCTTTGAACGGAATGGAGCTCCGGTGCTGACAGAGCTGTAGGTTGGAGAGAGATCTGGCATTTCCCCTATGTTACCCTCACCCAAACAAGCACACAACTTTCCAACAAATTACAAATGCCCGGAATAATTTATCTTTTTTAATTCCCTAAAATCAAAATCAAAATAATAATTTAAAACATCTGAAAATTTGCATTTATTCATGCCTTTATTCATTCATCTGATCACAGTCTTACAGGCACTCTACTTTGTTCCACCTATAGTGATAAACTCAGGATTCTCTCATTCTCAGTTTTATGTGCATTGGGCAATTCCATGAAAGTCCTTTCCTGTTCACTTCAGTAAACTCATGTAACTCAGTCCCGCAGCAGCACAACCACAGTTCTAAACACCCCTGTGTTTAAAGCATCACGACAACCCTGTACCCAGATTTTCTGCCTTCCTCACTGTACCCTTGGTGGGATCTTTCTTCTCTTTTCCATTCTAAATGTCAGATTACCCCAGGGTTTGGTCCTAGAACCCATTCCTGTCTCTCTGTATACTTTCTTGTTAAGTAATCTCAACCTCTTTCGAAACTTAATGAAGCAGTGACTCCCAAATTTCCATCTCCAGATTTGACTTCTCTGTTGAAATTGAGAATCACAGAGCTGCCAATCTGTACCTCCATTTTACTCTCTCATAGGCATTTTACACTTAGTGCTTGGTATTCAGTTGCTGAATTCCTGTCCCCACCAGCTACCTTCAAACCTACTCCTCCCCAAGAATTCCTTTACCCAGCAAGTGACTCTACCACTCACCCAGTTCCTCCAGCCAAAATTCTAAGGGTCATCCTTGAGTCCTCCTTCCCTGAGCACATCCGGTCCGTCAGCAAGCTCTATCAGGGTTGTCTCTGAACACACCTCAAATCTGCCCACTTCCCTCCATCTCCACAACCATCACCAGCTGCCTCCTTAACGGCCATTTTGATTCTACTCTTGCTGCTTTTCCCCCCGTTATCCTTTTTCCATTACACAATGCATTGATTTTTTTAAATGCAAATTCAAACGAATCAAACCTCTGTGTAAAGTCTTATACTGTGTTTCCACTGTATTTTACCACAGGCTGAGGTGGTCCCTGCCTCTCTCCAGCCTCATCTCCAGTGCTCCCCTACTGTGTCCAGCTTCAGCTCCATGAACTCAGCAGCTAGTTCTGACATCAGGATGATCATGCCAGCTGTCCCACTGGCTTAATATTCTTTCCCTAGATCTTCACAAGGTTAGCCCTTTTTGTCATCTAGGTGTTAGCCTGAATATCATCCTCTCATAAGGTCTGCTTTATGACTACTCAATCTAAAGCAGCCTCTGTTTCATGTTTATCAGTGATTTTTATTACCTAATGCCTTCTTGTTTACTTATTTTGTTTCTCTACTCACCAGAAAGAAAGCTCTATTCATGAAAACAAGAACGTTGTATTCAAGCACTGTGTCTCTAGTGTATAGAATTGTGTCTGGAACACAGTAAGTTCTTAGCACCTGTGTAATTACTGAATGAATCTCAGATTCCTTCCCTACATCTATGGGATGGCTTTGCAGACTTTGGGCAGTGGTATAGAAAAATGAATTCTCCTGAGACCAAAAAATGGCCTTTCCAATGAAAACACCTTTAATATTATACCTCAACCAAGATAAATACAATGCAGCAAGGGAAATAATATATGCTCAAAACTGAAGCATTAATGAGCCACGATGGTATATATATGTTTAAAAAGTCTTAAGTCTGCATCTAAACTCTTTTTGAGTACATATAACCACTCATCTAAAATCTAGGCTGATTTAATTCACAAAGTTGTACCAGACCTGGCTATCATGGTGATTTCTAGAAACATTAAACATAATCTTGTGATATCTACTAGTTAGCTATCTATTGACTAATCCAAAATATCCAGAAAGAGAAGCTCACCTCCACTCTTAGGTATGTAAGATTTAAAATAATCAGACAACCTCATTACTCTTCAGTATGGGGGGGGGGACCTGAAAACCATCTTTGATTTCCATTGCAGGTTTTTATTTGCTCCAAAGAATATTTAACCATTACTCATGCTTTTAAGAGATAGATGGCAAAAGAAAAGGAAAATCCCAAACCTCTTTGCAGCTTTGTTGACTTGACAGAGATACTGCAGGTCAAAGCAGCCTTTTGTTTGACTTTTGGTGTCCCAATATAACATCAAGTGGATAAGGTCATATTTTTGAGTCTTGGAGAAAACGAAACAGTTTGAAAATGGCCACTTTTTATCTAAAGGAACTCTTTGGCATGGGCTAATTTCTGAAAGCTACACTAAAACTGGAAAAAATTGTTCAAGTCTAGCATCTCAGTAATACTCAATACAGAGTTCAAAGTATTAAATTCTTGTTGCCTTGAGCAAACTTCCTAGAGGAGTAAACCCTTAGTCTCTGGCACGCTGAGTGAGCAGCCCTCACCCATCAGGATCTAATGGCCAAACATGCTGCTTCTTACAAATCACATTCTACTTGTTCATTTGGTTTTATTTTTCTTTGGAACAGGAGTAAGGAAAAGGAGAGAGTTTCTAGCCACACTCCAATTTAAAAATATTAGTGCCATAAGCAAAGATATGGTCTCTCTTTTAATAAAAATTGTTCTCTCCCCTTTTCTCCAGGTTCTTCCCCTCGTCCTAATCCACAGAAGCAACCTTCACTTAGTGCCCCGTTTTCAATCTTTCTGCGCTATGATGGAAAAGCAGGCACTCGCAGCGAGCAACTGCTGCAGACAATCAGATGGTGCCACGTGAGGGGCCCTTTCTCTCCACTTCAGTGGATTTGGGATGCACTAGGAAAAGTTCAAGCCCTACATACCAGGGAGAGTCTAGAACATCATTCCTTAAGAAAGCTTGATTCTCTCTTCCCATCGGCAGCGTTTCAAGGGGCAGTGAAGAAAAGCAGGTTACATGGTGAATGTCTGTGCTCTAGTCTAGCTGGTTGCCCCTGCCCTACCTCCATCCTTCAGTGTGCAGGGGCTGCTGGACACCAGCCTGGATGGTGGAGCAGCTAGTGCAAGACGGTCAAAGTGAGAAAAGCCACAGGAGGGGCTCAGCCATTGAGTCAGAGTCCCTGCACTGTTCTGCCCACAGAAAGTGGTCTGTCTGTCCTTGGGCAGGTGCTGTAGCAGAAAAGTCTTTCAGGTTCCTAAGCCCATTCCTGCCATCCTCCCCTTGGTGTTACATCCCTTTACAGCGGTGTTTCCTGAGAATTGCCTGCATCGTAATCATACTAGTTTCTTGCTGAAAATGCAGATACCCCGTTCTCACTCTCTACCTGCTGAGTGAGATCCTGGAGGAAGAACTCCATTTTTATCGAGCTCTCCAAGTGATTCTTATGGCGACGTGGCACTAGAGCAGTTACGTATCACCTTTTGCTGTGTACCCTCTTGGATTAATCATTAGAAAGAGGAGTACACAGAAATTTTGTAAAATGAACTTAAGTCCTTTGTCTGACACTTAGTGGCTATGACCTTGAGTAAGACACAACTTTTTAGGGTCCCTCTTTCCTACTGGGAGTTTGTGGGGACTGAATAAATTTGTGACTGATAATACACCATTTGAACTACAAAGATTTAAGATAATTAATTAAAGAATGTGATTTAAGATAATTATTACTAATATGTATTCATAAAAACTGTGAGGTACTCCTTTAGACATAAAAAGCATAAATATCTTGAATGTGCAGAAATACAGGCACCAATGAGCACTCACACACACAATCTCATCTTTCAGCAGCCCCTGGTCTTCCTCAGGGTAAAGTTCCCCAGTGGAAATAATAGCTACTCGATATTCGTAAGAACCCACTGTGCCCTTTGCTAAGCCTCGGGTGCCCTCTGAGATGTCCTCCCCAGCACAACCCAGATGAGAAATTAGACTCAGAGGAGGGAAGTCACTCACTACATCTGGTCAGTGGTGATTAGCAGACCCCACAAACCCCTGACCACTGCATTACTGAAATTATCATCATCCTCAACTCATCAAACTGTTGGTCCTAGAAGAATGGAATGAGCATTTCTAAAGTTAAATATTTCATCTCTGAAACAACAGAAACACAATCAACAACCTAACGCTTCGTTCTGCAGAAAGCAAGGGCGAGTGAAATGGAAGCCTACAGGGTGCATCAGTTGAAAGTCTAAGGATTAGCACAGCAGTTTTAAGGTCTCTGCTAATGAAAAGAAATGTTTATTTTCCCTCAAGGCTATCGTGGCAGAAAAGAAGAATGTACCTCCTAGAGCCTCAACATTTTTCATAATGGTTCCTACATTCTCGCTTCCAAAGGTAACTTCTATCTTGAAATACAGCCTGCCAGGTTGCTACTGTAACTCCAACAATGAAACTCACAGGAGACTTCTTTTTTTCCTCAGTGTTTCAATAGTATTTTCTTTTTCACTTACTCAAAGAGACAAAGGAAAAAATAACGTGTTTACTTTTGCCTGTCATCAACTGTCTAATTCATTACAAAGAAAATGGGTAAAGAAAAGAAAGTCAATCTACAAATGCTAGTTATTAGATTAACAATTATGAAACCCTTACCCAGTATTTGTTTTTCAGCCTACAGTAGTCTGGTTGTGATTCTTGGATTAATCGTTTTCATCCACGTTCAGGTTTGCACAGTCCCCCAGTATTGAGTGTGTGTGTGCACTCTCTCTCTCTAGCCCCACTCCCGCACTACTGACGGCTTACAGCCAGAAACTGATACTCTCAAATGGAAAAGGCTTTGCTCGGTGAATCGCGTGTAGTCTAGCTAAGGATATGGAACTCTGGATCCCTCCTCCATATGGTAAGAATGCCAGCTTCCCAGTCTCACCATGAGCAGTTGCAGCCAACATCTGGGAAACATCAAAATTTTGGAGCTCTTGTTTGAGATACTTCCTGCTATGTTCTTGGCCCATCTGAACATACTGAATTTTTAACTCATATCTAAAAACCTGTTTTTGTTGAATACTTGCCTTTTCCCCCTATGGTGGTCTTGCTAGTGATACCTTTGGATAAAATGACTCTTTATACATTTTTATGGAATATTACATCTGCCCTTTGCCTAATCTCAGCCCTACTCTATCACTTATGACACAGCTCTCCCCCAACAAAAGCACACTTATCCAAATTTACAACTCCTAACAGCTGATCAACAACTTTGGGAGAAGACAGATAAAAGACCATAATATAGGACTGAATCAATTTTGTAACAATATGTTTACAGGAAGACAAATAAAAACATGCGATATGTTTATAAGAAGAGAAATAAAAACCACCAATCATTTTTCATTTTTCTTTGTGTACATTAAAAATAGGGGGGGGTATATTGTTTTCTTTTGCTGAGACAACAAACAGGAAGAATGGGTAGGGCACGACTCTACAAACCTCGTAAGTGGTTGTCATTGTGGGCTTATAGGACACATGATTGGCCCTTCTCAGCTCCTTGATAGTTTCAGCTGGCATGGACTTAGAAAACCCGGGGGGGGGGATATTGTTTTCTTTTGCTGAGACAACAAACAGGAAGAATGGGTAGGGCACGACTCTACAAACCTCGTAAGTGGTTGTCATTGTGGGCTTATAAGACACATGATTGGCCCTTCTCAGCTCCTTGATAGTTTCAGCTGGCATGGACTTAGAAAACCCCAGGCCACTCCAGGTATTTGTGGGTGTTCTGACCTCTGTCACCACTGGTTTCTTTAACATGGCTTTGGAAAATAATACAAAAACAAATGCTTGGTATGTTTAATGTATTTCTTAAATAAGACACTGAAGATGAGTTTTGTTTCTCTGTTNGCTTGGTATGTTTAATGTATTTCTTAAATAAGACACTGAAGATGAGTTTTGTTTCTCTGTTGTATGTGAAGAAATTATCACTGCATGCTATTTTTCATGCAAAATGCCTAAAAATATCTTAATGAAACATTTTACCCAAAGTAATGGTAAATGAAAAAAGGCTACATGATTTCTTAATTGGTCTAATGCTAATCTATTCAACAAAATACATTTGATCTCAACAAAATCTGTTCAACTTTAGCCCAAATGTTCTGGGTTGCTTTTTATGAGTGTCCAATTTCTCAATTCACGATGAATAGTTAAAAACCATTTATGAGTGCACTGAACAACAATCAAAACATAAATTATTAGTGTATCATATACCTTTGGTTGCTAATAGCTTCTTTTGTTCATAGTCAAATGCCTGAAAATAAAACAGAGGGAAAATATCTTTACTGCCAGTCTCTCCACATGTCATGTACTCTATGGTTAGGGAACAAAAAGTTTCGACTGTGTCCCATGAATCTGCCTGAGACATATGCTAAGCTTTGTACTGTAATGTGACAGGAATCTAGTGTAAGTCTGATAAATTTAAACACGCTTTCAAAACTAATTAATTAGAATAAAAAATTACTACTTCTGACTTTAAGTCATGGCTTTGTCAAGAATTAGAATTTTTCCTTCAGAAAGAAAAATAAATTCCTATTTACTATGAATAGCTAGCACACCAGGACCAATATATGCTCAAATATAGTGAAAACCTAATAATAGTCATGCTAAGTTTCAAAATAATACATTACCAAAATGCTGTCAGGTATCTACTAGCCTTCTTTGTGTTTCAAAATCCCCTTTCCATTTAGGTAAGCATGGCCTAAAGTGGTAGGATGATTACAAGACAACTTAAGGAATTATTTAGCCTAATTGGCAGAATTTTTGCTTTTGAAGGGAGATAAATGGCAAATGGCAAATGTCTAGCTTTAATCTACAATAACATTAAGCAATGCAATGAAATTAAACCTTGTTACCTTTTACTGCACACGACTAGGATGGCACAATTCATTTATTCCATTAACAATGAATAAGTACCTACAATGCAGGCAGTTCCACGTAGGAACCAAGATAGGTCTTTTGAAGAAAGGAGTGCAGATATACCTCAAATGCTAACCTACTATTATCAACTCCCCCAATTTAGGAACTTGCTAAAGTTTGATTTAAGAGGATCTCAAAGGCTTACCAGGAGGTAATTGATAAGAGATCTTTGACCCTTCTCCCAGGAAGGCTACACCATCATATACATGGTGCCCATATAATTTATGGTCTGAATTAGGACACTTCTGAGAATGAAACATGCTGTGAATAATAATTAGGCCAGGATAATAAAAGTAATCAGGGGCTATCCCAGACAAACCAGGATGTGTGAGAACTCTAAATATGTGATAGTGAGTCAGGAAAGCCAGATTTTTAGATAACACAGTTTGATGACGTTTTTTGAAATCCTAGGTCTAAAATGGCACTGGGATTTAAAATCAACTTTTAATGTCTAAGGGCAAAGTGTGGGGAAAACATAAATTTATTTATTCAATAAATATTTATTTAGTGCCTACTAGTTAAAGACTATGCTGAGCTTTGTCTTTGTGGAGGAATACAACAATGAATAAAAAAAAAAAATCTAAAGCCTCAGCAACTTACAGTCTTAGGAAGGTCGGGTAAGTGAAATAACTATAAAATAAATTAGGAAATGAGATAAATGTGAAAAGAGAGCTGCAGATATAGCACTCGAAGAGCATTCACGAGACAGGTCATTTTCAGCCACAAAAATCAGGGAAGTCTTCAATCTTTCTTCCTGTCAATGCTCAGTGACTACTGCCATTGATTTCTTAGTGATTTTAAGAGTCAGCTATTCACAAATGGCATATATCTATTTAAATCGAAACTCTATCATAAAGAACATTTTCAACCACCTTAGAGAAAATCGTGTTAAGTGAAATAAGCCAGGCAGAGAAACAGAAATACCCCATGTCCCCACTCATAACTGGGAACTAAAAAAAAAAAAAAGAAAGAAAGAAAGATACAACAATCACAATAATTCGTTGAACTTTCAAAAGGAGAGAATAGAACTGAGACTACCAGATAAGGGAAGGGGGTGGGTGTTAGCAAGAAATTGATAAAGGACCACAAAAAATGAATATTGTGTAATGCTGAATATAGTAATTAAACAGATTTGAGCATCAAATATTGCACACAGGTGCTGATATTCAATGCTATACCCCACAGATATGTACAATCAATTATGTTTCAATAAAAAAAAAATACAAGAACATTTTGATCCATCCTAAAAAAAAAAGAAACATGAAATTGGTTCACTGTAGGTAGAAACCTGAATGGAAAAAATGACAAGAATCATAAGATGGATAAAAACCATAAAGGGATCATATATGGGACTTGATATTTCTTAAATGGGAGAACTTTAATTTATATTAACTGAAAATAAATCCACCAGAGAAAATGTAACAAACGTCCTTTTTTTTTTTTTTTTCATACTGACACATTATAAAGGCCATGGCTTTTGTAAAAACATTCATCTAAAAATTCATGAAAATATTCAAATGCAAAGGATTAAAAAACAGACATTAAAGGAACATTAAACTGTAGTTTAAACTGGAATTATAGCAGTATAATTTAGTTCCATGAATTGATTTCTTTGACATTAACAGCTTTTTGTTTCTAGGATTTTGTGAGAATTTTCCTGTTTTTTGGAGGTGGTTATGGGGGTGATAAGTCTCTTACTACGAAGTGGGTAAGTCTACCCAGTAATTCTCTGGTACTGAAATCACATATTTATAGGAATCTCTAAAAGCACAAAGCACAATATTCTTCTCTTCCATATTGTGATCTATATGAATTTCTGGATTTCATGGTCAGTAGCCTATTTTGAGTAATCAGCCTAATACTTTGAAAATGGATACAGAGAAAAGTCCCTGTTGAGGAAGTTATTTAACATATCATAAAAACCTGTGAACCAACACAATCATCAGTAATATTCAGCATCTATTTTCAAAAAACTAAAACCTCACATTATTTTCACAACTGTCTCTAAATGGCACCAAACAAATTTATCCTCTCCATTTCACAGACAGAAGAATACCATATTTATTTACCTAAGACTATGTCATGAGGGAGTAATACTTAGAAATGCAGTCTCACATTTATCTAAAATTTTTTCAAGTAACAGACGAATAATGTTATTTGCATAATACATAGTGACAGATTATTTTGTGCCATTTTCATACTTTATTTTAAAGACTTCTTTTCACTTAAGATAAATCCTATATTTCATTTTTAATGTTTATAGCAAACCAATTCCTAACTACTGCATATATATTTAAATTTCATTTTGGCTGAAGCACAGAAGGAAAATCTAATTTCCGTACAACTGCTGAATACTCACTGAATTCTTCATACCCCAACCCAAGGGCCCTACATTTGAATGATCTTATTTTGTCACCATTACCTGCATGTTGACATATGACGGCCGTGGGGCAAGGCGGGCCCTTTCGGAGTTCTGCTGGGCGGCTGCTGCCCTCTCCGCAGCACGCTCACTGCCTGGAGCCTTCTTGT